ACACACACATATGATATAATATAAACAATGACTTATCATGGCTTTCTGCATTTTATTTTATTTTACGAGTAAAGAGTGAGGTCTGGGAAATAGTCAGATTCCACTGATCCCAACATCAACATCGTTACCAAATTATTGATAAGGTGCCCCAAGTTATAATAATCTGACCCTAATATAATATGTATATGTACATGTATATGTATAGGTATATATGTATATGCATATGTATATTGGTCATGGAATCCAACTGAGGCAGACACTTACCCGTTTTAGTCCATATTTACAACCCACTGATCATCCATTTAATTGGCTGCAGATGGTCTGGTGCCATACCTGAGGGGAACAAATTAATTTTATTTTCCTCCATATGTATATATATATATATATATATATATTAATACAGTTCAATTATAACCTATGATTTTAATTTGGTTCATGTCTTTTCTACTGTTTTCACCATTACCCAATTTATATTCAATCTTTTTTATTCACCTTTTTACTGAATATCCACTCAACTAAGTCGCTTATCAATCAATATTTACACTTATAATTAGTTCAATGTATGCTATCTGATGGTGATTTTTCTATCAATTATTTAAATATAATGTTTTGAGTTAATTAGATTACGTTTATTTAAATTTTTTAAGATAATCAATTATTTAAACATTATTATATACAATTTCATTGATTAAGAGATATTTTTAGATTTTGTTAGAAGAATTTGATTTACTAAACAATACTTCGTCAACATATCTCACAATTCCATTTAAAGTTTTCACTTTGACTTTTTACCGGCAGAAATGAAATTCCGTAGCGAAAGGATTGCAGTAAAAGCATCTCATTTCAATTTTAGCAACAGTCTTTTCGCACCACTTACAAGTGCCCATAATTATATTTCATAAATATATATATATATATATGTATATTGTCAAATTCATATTTTTTAAGATGAGAAAATATTTAATATCTACAAAAATAATATGTTATTTAACAAAAATATCAAAATATTATTAACTGAGTTTTTGCAAATCCTAATTATATCATACTAATGTCTAACAAATTTAATGTAATATTAACAGTGACATTCTTAATCTCACTCTGCAAAGTCCTGTTTCAATTGTCTTCTAATATAAGTCTTGAATTTTTCCTACTTCCTCTTAATTTCTTAAAGAAGAAACAAAAAATGCATGAGAATTACAAATAATAATAAAAAAAGAAAAATTAATAGAGGAAATAACTTTTATAATTTGAAAAACTAACTCTAGAGACTGATGAAAAAGAGACAAATGATGGGATAGATAGATCAAGTTGGCTTGATTGTAATAGATTAAATGATCCCATTACATAAAGATGAAAGATGAGTATGAGGTGAAGAGAAGAGAAGTGAGTTTGAGAAGTAGGCCTAAAGAAAGAGGCAAATGACCATGAGTCAAGAGGAGGCACAACAGTCTTGAATTTTTCCTACTTCCTCTTAATTTCTCAGAGAAGAAACAAAAAATATATGAGAATTACAAATAATAATAAAAAAAAATTAATAGAGGAAATAACTTTTATACTTTAAAAAACTAATTCTACAGACTGATGAAAAAGAGATAAATGACGGAATAGATAGATCGAGTTGGCTTGATTATAATAGATTGAATGATCCCATTATATGAAGATGAAAGATGAGTTTGAGGTGAAGAGAAGAGAAGTGAGTTTAAGAAGTAGGCCTAAAGAAAGAGGCAAATGACTATGAGTCAAGAGGAGGCACAACAGTCATAAAGGATGGCTATGGACGAGGAATTAATGAAGTAAAAAGAGGTGCGACTGATAATGATGATAAAGCGTGGTGGCTAAGGAAAGAGACACTGAGGAAGAAGACAAAACAAGATAAAACAATAGATGGCTAGAAAACTAAAGGAAGCGACTAAGTATATGAAATTATGAATTTTTTTTTTATTTAAATATTAAAAATCATATTTATGACCGACAGCCGCTTAAAAAACGTTATAAAATGATATAGTATGAATTTCTATTTTGCAGTGGTTTTTCATCTGTTGCAAATCATCTGCATCAAAAAATTATTTTCTTGAAGTGTAACTTACAAAAAAGTAAATTCGAATTATAAAAATAAAATTAAAAACATACCTTATCCTTAAGTAAACTAATCTCTATTCATTGAAAGATTAGTGTGTTTAATTAAAAATAAATAATTAATTATGAACAGTATCATACACTTTGATTGTAATCAAGGGCGATGTCATTTCTGGTGTTATAATTTGTCTACCGATGGTAACGTTGGATTATAATCATTATTTTTAGTAGACAGGAACTTGATCAACATTGGAGGTTAAATAAATACTGCTTTAATTGTCATTAACCACTAAAAATGGACAAGTAAATTTCACTGAATTCATTTACAACCACAAGATTGTCTCAACCTCAGCCTGCTCATCTTGCT